CACTTTCTACCTAATATCATAACTAAACTTCTCTGTTAATTTAGTTAGAATTAGATACCATTTGGATTAAATCTTTTGATTCATTTTTATAATCTCCACAGCACCTAAGCACAATGTCTAATGCAAGCTAAGTATTTTATACATATTTCTTGAATAACTGAGTTTTTTTCTTTATATTTTGATGTCTTCAAAATTTTCTTCTGGAAAGAATGTAAACTTAAGCACAAGTTAATCTTTAATTCACCTCTGGCTCGCTTGTATTCTTAGCCCAACAATACTTACATGATAAATGCTTTTTACTGACTTGAATTGACTTGATAAGTCCACCATCTAAAATGTATATATGAAAGCTTGACTTGAATAGAGAAATAATACAGTATATTCAGAATGCCTTCCTTGAACAGAAATGAAATTTTGGCTCTTGGTTCCCAGTAGAGGGATCCTCCCTTCTCTGAAAACCTGTACTACTAACTCACTAAAACACTCAACTGGTACTTAGCATGTATTATCTTGTATTATTAGTAAATTTTTATTACTAAATTTTATATCCTTACTATTAGTAAATTTTTCCCTTGAGTATAATGGAAGTTCCAGAGTAGAGATTATAGTTATTACTTAAAGAAGTACAATGTAGTGACAAGTGAATGAGTCTTGGTGTCAGAGAGAAGTGGGTTCAAATTCTAGTTTTGCCATTTATCAACTACAGAACCTTATATAGTTTATAAGGTTCATATAAATGAACCTTATATTCATTTCACCTCTCTGAACTTCAGTCTCATTGTCTATAAAACAGAGAAAATATCTATCTTTCAGGGTTATTAAAGATTAGAAATAATATGTATCAACTGGTAGCACACAGTATACTCTAAATAATGGTGGCAATTATAACATCTCTGAATCCTCAATAACTAACAGTGCCACAGCTACTAGGAACATAATAATACCTACTGTTAACGACATAGCTACATGTGTCTTACTACGCAAGCAGATGAAATGACAAGACAAAAACATACCTGTTAGATAAGAGGTAAACTGCTTTGGACCACAGCGAATAGCATAACGTGTAGTTGTTCTCACAGCTTTTGGTTCAGTCTGCAATGCATCTCTGGGACAAAAGAGGGTTCCTTCTGATGTTTCTCCCCACCATCTCACCCGGACAAGTACACAAGCAGGAGGCTTTGCAATCTTCCATATGACTTTATTAACAGAAAGTTTCAGAAAGCAGCGTAGCTGGCCTTCAACCAAGGGCGGCAAGCTTGTAGATGGAGAAATATCACTTAAACCTGTGGAGGAATCCAAGAATACAAAGTCAAAATTTAGTCTAAATATAGAAAACAAATAATCTTCTTTTTGAATGAAAAACACATAAAAATATTTTAATCTCTACAGAGAGAAGGTTAATTCTATTTATCCTAATATATGAGAAGTAACTAGCAAACCAGACCACAGAATAACCTATCTGGTCACCTAAGCCAGTTAAAAACTAGTTAAATGTTCAGGATTGGATTCAGGTTACTGTGAGGAAAGAACACACCAACTTAAGACATAGTAGTATAAACGCTTCTTTAACTGAAAGATACTAAATGAAAACAACAATGATACAGTTCAGTTCAGTTCAGTTCAGTCGCTCAGTTGTGTCCGATTCTTTGCGACCCCGTGAATCGCAGAACGCCAGGCCTCCCTGTCCATCACCAACTCCCGGAGTTTGCTCAAACTCATGTCCATTGAGTCGGTGATGCCATCCAGCCGTCTCATCCTCTCTTGCCCCCTTCTCCTCCTGCCCCCAATCCCTCCCAGCATCAGGGTCTTTTCCAATGAGTCAACTCTTCCCATGAGGTGGCCAAAGTATTGTAGTTTCAGCTTCAGCATCAGTCCTTCCAATGAACACCCAGGACTGATCTCCTTTAGGATGGACTGGTTGGATCTCCTTGCAGTCCAAGGGATTCTCAAGAGTCTTCTCCAACATCACAGTTCAAAAGCATCAATTTTTTGGTGCTCAGCTTTCTTCACAGTCCAACTCTCACATCCATACATGACCACTGGAAAAACCATAGCCTTGACTAACTAAAAGGCTAACGGACCTCTGTTGGCAAAGTAATGTCTCTGCTTTTTAATATGCTATCTAGGTTGGTCATAACTTTCCTTCCAAAGAGTAAGCGTCTTTTAATTTCATGGCTGCAACCACCATCTGCAGTAATTTTGGAGCCCCCCCAAAATAAAGTCTGACACTGTTTCCACTGTTTCCTCATCTATTTCCAATGAAGTGATGGGACCAGATGCCATGAATGATAGAGTATATAGATTTTAAAAAATCTCTGAAGTGAGATTAAAATTTTTCTTCCAAGTACTGCTATTCTGATTATGGCAATGTCCAGTTTTAAAGATGCTATTTTTACCTAATTCTCAGACTTTAAAACTGTCACTAAATATAAACAGCATCAACTCCTGTCAATTCACAAATGAAATGCACACCATACAACTCAGTGCTTCCATAAAGACCACCTTAAACTGTGTCTTTTCTTCCTGCCAATATCATATAATCAATGAGGAAAGAAAGTATCACCTTTAGATTCTGCCACTATTCTTTAGCATAGTGCTATGTTCATAATATTTATGGCTTTTAGACGGATAACAACATGTAAAGAAGGCAATTAATCCTGACTTTCTATAAAGCTTTCCTTTAATGACCCTGATTGTCTTCCCCTTCACTGTATCTTTTAACCATGGCTTACAGGAAGTTTAAGAACTTATTCCAATATTACACACACCTTTCTATTCTTCTCACTTTTCCCTTGGAGAGTGGTCATGCCTCAAGAAGAAAGTACACTGAAGTCTACCAGATCAGAAATTTATATAACTAATTCTTTGGATTTCCGAGAGAACACCCCCTCTGCTTTCTTGAGTGAAGACCCACCATAATATTTATGAATAAGTAGCTTCAATACAAAAATTATACACAGGTGTGTGCATGACTATTACTGTATATGCACATAGTATAATGAGAAGGACATTAGGATGTTATTTCAATTTTGATTTTCCTCCTATCAACCAAATATATTTGACTGGTTTGAGGTAGGTAGCACAGCACTGAACACTTCCACACTTCTGTTTCATATCTTGCATCATTTCTGGAAGGAAACACATTGCCTCAAAACTGCCTTAGTTATCTTTAAACAGCAGATAAGATTCATTTCTAGACAGCAGCTTTAGTCCTCAACCCAGGGGCCTAATGCACTATCACTATTCCAAATACCTCTTTGCCTATAATGTAAAAAGGCAGAGTCACCCAGTTTTTGTTTCAAGGCAGCTCTGCAGAGATTCAATTTTGTTTCCTGATCTGCCCTGGGTTCCCAGGGTGACTATTCTTGCTGAAGCTAACATTCCCCTGGTCTCCTGGCGAGCCTGCGTCTCCTGAAGTGGACTAAACTGATCAAGTCCTCCTGTTAAGCTTTTTCACCATCTCAAATCCTTCAAAGATCTTCATACCCTCACCCGCTACCACACTGTCAATCCTGTCTTTATTTCTCTCTCCTCCATAACTGGCTTTTCCCTACTCCCATCTGTAGCCTTTCATGATTCATAATTGCCTCACACCTCAGTCATTCAACTAATATTTATCGAGTCCTGTTGTGTGCTAGTTTTGGGGGATTCAGTAAGGCCTAAAACGTGATCCTTGCCTATTAGGATTACCGATATACTCTCCAACTTGTTTTTCTTCCAGTCCCATAGGGACCTGCAAAGCTCTACGTCCCCTTTTCCTGCCCCCACACGTTTATGAAAAACATTCCTAAGTCACGGGGATTTAAGGTACAGCACGGTGACTATAACGGTAGTGTACTGTATATTTGAAGGTTGCTAAAGAGTAATCTTAAACTTTCTCCTCAAAAGAAAAAAAACTGTAACTACGTATGGTAACGGATGCTAACGAGACAACTGGCAATCATTTCGAAATATATACAAATATCCAATCCAAATGTACACCTGAAACTAACATAATGTTATATGTTAATTATACCTCAATTTTTAAAAAGCAAAAACCAAAACAAAACCTACAATTTTTTCGTTCTCTTCCTTTGGAAGCATCTCCTTTTAGCCCTCCCCTCATTCAAGTTATTCACCCACTTTGCCCTAGTCCAGCCCCTATACCGTTTCCATTCGCGGGAGGGTTACATGCTCTCTTTTAACCTTCTGATGCCCTGGTTTATTTTCCCTCCGCAATCCTCTTCCCCGCATTTTTAACAGGCGGCTGTGGGAGGTCTTCCTAGAATGCCTAGCGCCCCGCTCCACGAACTCCGCCCAATCGCCCAACTACTCTTTCTTCCACCTTTGGTCACTCAGATTACCTCTCTTCTTGCGGCTACGGCCTCCCCCAGGCCCCTGAGCTTTCCGTTGCTTCATGACGACCCCGAGCTCTTCACCAACTCAACTACGGCTCCAGCACCTAAGCTGTAGCCTCCCGCCATCCCTTCCCAAGGCGCTAGTGTTCCCCGGCAACCGGCGCCGCTGGGCAGCCTGGGAGGCAGGAAGAAGTGGTTCTTTCTTTAACAGTCTCTGGGAAGCGACGAGAAAAGAAGGCGCCAAGACTCTTTCCCACCAGTAGACTACAACACCCAGGATGCTTTGCTACGCTACCTCTGCAGGGTTGAACGCGGTTGCCTCCAACTGCGCAAGCGCACGATGCGCTCTTTGAGGACTCCATTGCCCAGGGTACATAGGAGCGCTTCTCTTTCCGGCGAAGGTCGTGGAGTTCTCTCGTAGAGGTCTGAAGGGTCAGAGACTCCGTTACCCAGCTCCCTTTGTAGAGTGTTGCTGCGCACTTCCGGTGGAAGTGCTGGGGCGAGGGGGTGGAGTTTACAGAGCCGGTGGGCGGTGCTGCCGGTAGCTGGGTGCTGTCTAGAGGCTACAGGGCGTCGCTAGGGGAGCGAGCTGTGACCGGTTGGGCCGCACTTAGCGTGGGACGAAGCTTCGGCTACTGTTCGACTACCTGCGGCCTGGCCTTCATGTCGGCCCTCGAGAAGAGTATGCATCTTGGGCGCCTGCCCTCTCGCCCTCCACTACCCGGCAGCGGGGGCAGTCAGAGCGGAGCCAAGATGCGAATGGGGTACGTGACCCGTACCCCTTCTCCCTAGAGGCCCGGCCCCGACCGTTGGAGAATGGTGGCTCTCGGTCTTTAGAGTGGCATGGCAAGGCAGGCTAAGGATTGAGAGAATGTTGGCGGCGGCCTGGAGACGTTTACATGAAGTAGAAGGCAGATCTGGGGACTAGGGGAGGCGCCAAGTCACTGGAAATTAGAGGGCAAATAGTATTGGAGGGAGACGGGAATGAGGCAGAGATTGAGGAAGCTGAGAAGATAGTTTAAGAGATGTATGAGGCACCTCAGAAGAACGGATGGAGGTTTGAGAAAAGGAAAAAAGAGTTGTGACAAACGTGGGGGGAAATCTTTCAGGGATGGTTGAGGGAAATGGGAAATGACTAAGTGAAAAGTTGAGGGAAATTAGGAGAAGAACTGGGGAAATATTTGGGAGGAGTTTCTGAGAGAACTAGATAATAGAAAGAAGCTGGGGGAAACGGGACACCTGAGGCAGGGTTGGAGAAGGAAAGAGAACTAGGGAGCAGCAGGTTCTGGAGAGGCATATTCAGGGAGTGAGTAAGTGACTTAGAGATTAGGTCTCTTAAGGGGTGCTGAGAAAGTGTGGAAAATAGGCCTAAGGAGAGATGGAGAACATAGCCAGGAAGACTGTTAGGGGTGACAGGAATGTGCTGAGAAGTAAGGGTAGGGAATAAGGGGAGGAGTGATGAGGGAGAGCACGCAGGGGTTTAGAGAGTGACTGTGGGCTCCAGAGATTGAGAAATGAGTAGGAATAGGGTTTAACTAATGGCTTACTGCAGAGAGAAGGTCTGGAAAGGTTAAAGAGGAAGATTTGGGCAATTGATTTTTGCAGGGCAAGTAGGTCTGGTGGAAGTTATGTACTGGTCTGATAAAACTCAGTGAAGTATTGAGAGTAGCAGCTTAAAATGTTTTGGGGGAAACCACCATTTACTGGAATGGGAGGAGCTGTGTTGACTTTTGGAATTTTAGGTTGTTGAATGAGCTGGGCCAGGTTGGGGGAATCTAAGATGTAGGGGAGAGAGTGTAATGAGTTGAACCTGGGAGAGGTAATTACTCCAAAATAGGTAATTGATCAGGTAGTCAGTTTTGAGGTGTGTTTGTAGTATCAGACCGGATTCTGGAGACTAGTGACTGTAAGGGATAGAAAAAATACTTAGGTATGTGGTAATCAAGAGTGTGTATTTGGAATTCTAGAGATGGATTGATAGATATTTTTGGAATAAGGACTAGAGAAGAAAAATCTTAGGTTCTGAAGAAGTAACATGTACAAAAGCTTACCAAAAAGGAGACGAAGATAGGAGATACAGTGCTGTGAAAACAGGTCCTAGGAATGGAGAGAAAGGAGAATCCTATAAATTAAAACAGTAGGGTAGAGGGGTAGTGAGAATGATTGGAAAAACTGGGGAAGGAAACAAAGACTTGAAGTGGAGACCTGACCGTTGGACAGAGTAGAAAAATGAGAAAACCTTGACAGATGAAGGTAGAAGGTAGGTCAGTGAATGCACACAGTATAAAGAGGTGGCAGAAGGCTGCATGTAAGGTAAAATGATGATTGTTTTGACTTTGGAAGACTAAGGTAGGACTGTAACATGATCATGGAGGATCTGGAAGCTGATCTGTAGTAGATTATTTGGAGAAAATTAACCTGGACTATAAAATTAATGTAGCATTTATTGTTGATATGTATCTTAGTTGCTGCCTTTTTAAATCTAAACTTTGGTCTTTCAGTATTCCAGTGCTCTTCTGTGAAAATATATAAAAATACTAGCTTTTTAATAACCATATGTGCTTCAGATAAGTTTAGAGCTTAGCTTCTCACGTTGGCAAAACAAGTTCTCTGAAGATGAAGAACTGAAGAAAAATGCTAAGAGAAAGTAAAATCTACTCATTAGTGCCCACTTCAGCAGCACATGTACTAAAATCTACTTATTAGCTTAATTGTTAGTAACTTAGCCTCTTTAATGGAGAAGGCAATGGCATCCCACTCCAGTACTCTTGCCTGGAAAATCCCATGGACGGAGGAGCGTGGTGGGCTGCAGTCCATGGGGTCGCGAAGAATCTGACACGACTGAGCGACTTCACTTTGACTTTTCACTTTCATGCATTGGAGAAGGAAATGGCAACCCACTCTAGTACTCTTGCCTGGAGAATCCCAGGGACAGAGGAGCCTGGTGGGCTGCTGTCTATGGGGTCGCACAGAGTCCCCATGACTGAAGCGACTTAGCAGCAGCAGTAACCTCTTTAAGGGCTTCCCTTGTGGTTCAGCTGGTAAAGAATCCACCTGCAATGTGGGAGACCTGGGTTTGATCCCTGGGTTGGGAAGGTCCCCTGGAGAACGGAAAGGCTACCCACTCCAGTATTCTGGCTTGGGGAATTACATGGACCAGTCCATGGGGTCGCAAAGAGTCGAACATGACTGAGTGACTTTCACTTTAACCTCTTTAAATAGATGCTTTGATCCTCTTAATTTAGGTTAACTGCTTATTCTGGAAAATAAAGTTCTTTAGAAAGATGCTTCTTTATAGTACTGTGAAAAGAAGAGCATATATTGGTGAATTTTATGTGTTCCTCAAGGGGCTTATTTTCCTGAATTTTTACTTCCTTACTGGAACATAGACATGCCTCATGTAACCCTGATGTTAGTGATAATATAGACTCTCCTTCCCTAGAGTCATCAAACTGGAAGAGAGCTTTGAAATGGTCTTATGCTTCATCATATGGTTGAGGAAACAGCTTTGGAGAATTCTGTATTCTGTTCGGTAAACTCGGAAGCAGGGAGTAGTATATTCTCTTAATAAATGAGAAAACTGAAATGCAAATCTTCCTTATGCTTCCTAGAAGCTTGGCAGTAGGGCCACTAAGGACTTGGATCTCTGGACTCTGAGACCCATTGTGTTTTTTGGGTTTATAATTATTATTGTTGGCAATAGTTAATTTGAGTTATGTATCTTATTCCTTTGCAAATACCCTGGAATTCAGTCTTCCTTTTTTTAAAGTTGGTCCTAGTTTATAAAGTCTCACTTCCGCCAGTTTTGAATCATCCTGTATTTCTAACTTCTTCTCACTTGCTTTTTTAATCTTCCCATCTTTTCCACTCCCCAGCTTTTCTCTTACTCTCAGGTTGGAACTGTTCCTTTGACAGTATCTTATATGACTTACTCTTTCAACTATTTTCCATAATCTCTTGCCTTCAGTTTCAGTAAACCTTGTTTAGCTGTGTTTGCATATTCAGGGTGGTTTTGAGATTTTGGTTTTTCTTGAGTTTCCATTATTTTTTTCCAATTGAATTTAGTAATTCCAAATTATTACTGGATAAAGCTATAATAGCAATTACTTTTTTCTTTTTGTTAGTACTGTGTGCCAGGCATTGTGGCAGTAGCTTTATGTATGTTATTTCTTGGGTAAGGCCTGAAATCCTGGTTTTATTGTTCCCTGATAGATGCCAGTAGATGATGCTCAGAACAGTGGTTTTGAACTTTTTAAAGCTTTTGGAACTACTGTGACTTTAGAGCCCTGCTTGCAACTGGTATTAGTCTGTTAGGTTACCATAAAAAAAATAACAAATTTTTTTTCTCAGAGTTCTGAAGGCTAAGAAGTCCAAGATCAAGGCACTAGCAGATTCTGTGTATGGTGAGAACTGCTTCTTGGTCATAGATGGCAGTCTTCTCACTGTGTCCTCACCTGTGGGAAGGGGAAAGGAAGCTCTATAGGTTCTCTTTTATAAGGTTACTAATCACTTTTATGAGAGCTACACCCTCATGACCTTATCACCTCCTAAAGGCTCCACCTTTGAAAGTAACATTGGAAGTTAGGATTTAACGTGAATTTTGGGGGCACAAATATTTAGTCTATTTCATGTGGTGTGCTTAAGGGTGTTTTGAAAGTCACTATTTTAGTACATTCCATTACGATTAGAGAGACTAAGTCATTTTTCAGTATGGTTTTGGATCATCAATAGTAAGTACTTTGTTTCAACAATTATCTCTTAGTTTTATAGTGCTTTAAATGACACATATATATTAGTCCCTTTTTTATAGTATTCTATGAGGTAAGTTGGGGCAAAGGTTATTATTTTCTTTTATTGAGAAAACTCAAATGTTCATTGACTTGCCTAGTATCACAGATATTAAGTGGCAGAAACAAGACTTCAGAAACCCAGATTTATATTGGGTTTTTGTTACTATTGTTGTTCTTACTTGTTGTTCAGTCACTAAGTTGTGTCTGACTCTTTGTGACCCCATGGACTGCAGCGCCCCAGGCTCCTCTGTCCTTCACTTTCTCCCTGAGTTTGTTCAAACTTATGTCCACTGAGTCAGTAATGCCATCTAATGATGTCATCCTCTGCAACCCACTTCTCCTCCTGCCTTCAATCTTTCCCAGCAGCAGGGTCTTTTCCAGTGAGTTGGCTCGTCACATCAGGTGGCGAAAGTATTGGAGCTTTAGCATCAGTCCTTCCAGTGAATACTCAGGGTTGATTTCCTTTAGGATTGACTAGTTTGATATCCTTGCTGTCCAAGGGATTCTCAAGAGTCTTCAGCACCACAGTTCAAAAGCATCCATTCTTTGGTGCTCAGCCTGTTTTATGGTCCAACTCTCACATCCATACATGACTAGGGGAAAAAACACAGTTTTGACTATACAGACCTTTGTATGCAAAGTGATGTCTCTCCTTTTTAATACACTGTTTAGGTTCATCATTGCTTTCTTTCCAAGGAGCAGTTGTCTTTTAATTTCATGGCTGCAGTGAAATCACCATCCACAGTGATTCTGGAACCCAGTTCTCATTATACCTTGGTGCAAAAGAGATCGTTGTTTGAAGTGATAATGATCTGAATTTGAAGGCTAGCTTGAGTATTTACTTTAGTTAAGTCATTTATCCTCTCAGTCTGTTTCCTAACTCTAAAACTGGGATACTTCTGCTTACCTTAGAGTGCTATGAGAATGAGATAACATATGAAAAGCAGTTATGCTTCCTGACACACAAGCTCTTA